TTTTTTTTTTTTTTTTTTTTTTTTTTTTTTTTTAAACAAAAAAAGAAAAATAATATAAAAAAGTGAACTTGCATGTATAAAGTCATTGCCTCTCACCCCAATTTCAACTTTGTCTTTTTACATTGTAAGACTTGAATTTTCTCTCACAAGTACGAGTTTGCCTATAAAAAGTGGCGTTCAAAGGTTGATCCAACCCATAAGCAAGTTAAAAAAAATTTCTATGCTCTTTTATTGTTATTATTAATACTGTATTTGTAATTTTAGAGTGTATTGAAATGGGAATGGGAAGAGCCAGTGTGCTATCTCTGGTGGTTGTGTGCTTCATCTTGATCTTCAAGATCAAGGTTATCAATGCTGATGATAATGTAGAAGGTTTGTAATTTTGCTCTTTATGATATGTAATTTTAATTGATCCATTAATTATTTTTTGATGTTTGTGTGTTTGTTTAGTTGAAGCCTTGATCACTTTCAAGGAACAACTAAGTGATCCTACTAACAGTTTACAAACCTGGGACCAAACTCTTGCCTCCCCTTGCTCATTCTCACATGTTACCTGCGCCGACGACGTCAGTGTAACATCGATGTAAGCAAGGCATAAATGTTCCTTTCATCTTCCGTTTTATTGTTAAATTGCAAGTATTCGTACGTTTTGTCGACGAATATTGTCAGAGGGATGTTAATATTGATTAGATTGGATTATGAGATGTTGATGATCTAATGATCATATGTTTTGTTATCCAATTTTGTTGTCAGTGATCTCGGCTTGCTGAACTTAACAGGGCAATTGGTTGCCGATCTCGGAAAGTTGACCAACCTACAATCTTTGTATGTATTATTTTTTTTTTTTTATATATTATTGTTTTCATATGTTATAATTTGATTTTGATAACGTACGTACTTGTGCACGAAAATGAGAATGAATATTATAACAACATTAGTTGCAAGGAAATATAGGAAGCATATATAGGTTGTTCAAAACGAGTATTAGCACAAGACTAAGTTTCAATTTAAAGGGCACAAATTAGGCCTAAGTAAGGCACCTCAATTTTCATTCTTATATGTTTAAAAGTACAAAAATCAGGCAAAAACTGCTCACTTGTAAACCCCAAATTAATGGGTACACTTTACGTTTTTCTCAAGGATGTTAGTTGAATCTCATGATGCAATATTTTCAAATACAATTAACAGTGTATTATGATGCAAAAAAAAAAAAAA